TAAACAATATTACACTGGTAGGAACAGTTAGTTCGTTGTAGAAATATAAGCAAACATATACTATTTATTTTTAAGAAGACCAAGAAAAATACATACATTTGTGTATTACAAAATATGTAAATATAACATTTTACCTGAATATTAAATGAAAAAAGTCTGTTATTTTTGTTTGTCACCTTCCTTGAACTACTGAAAAAAAAAACATTTTTTCAAATGATGTGGAAACAGTCAATAATGATCCTTTCACACTCTGGGAAATTTCAGTAGTCTGAATAAATGCTCTTATGGTGGATCAAGCAGCATACGCTTCAGCAACAGTAGGGATTTTGCCGAAATCTTCTAATTCTTCATCAGCCCCATCAGTACTTTGTTTGTCACTAGTTTGGTGACTCAGTACGATGTCAATATCTGACAGTTCTTCGCTCGTACTTATTTCGTCAACCACTCGTACATAGTCATCTGCAGAGCAGTCAGAACTGAACGACATCCTGCAAATACGTTTGTGTAATATCGTTGTATGCGATTGCTGATGGTTGTAAGTCATCAATTAGGCCGAAAAAACGAAAACAGTTGATGATCCTTTTTCCATGACTTTGATATCATTAGTATAGCGTCAAGAATACTGACTTTCGTATCGTCGTTTTAATTTTTTTTTGATGATTTTGTACACCAATTCTTTCCGAAAGCATGCTTTAAGACTTCTTATAACTCTTTGGTCCGTGAGCTGCAGTACGGACGTACAATTTGGAGGCAGAAAAACGAGTTTAATTTGTTTTAACCTGCCAACTGGGGGTGGGACGTACAGTTGTCGACAATTAAAATTATGTGTTTTTTTGTTGTAAAAGTTCACTGTCCCATTTTATTAAAGTCTTTTCAAAAATAGCCGACGTCATCCAGGCTTTTTATTGAAATCGTAATCAACAGGGATATTTTTCACGTTTTTAAAACAGCGCGGCATTTTACTTTTTCCTATCACCAAAAGCTTTCTTTTCATGGAACCGGACATGTTGGCTGCAACGAGAACTGCAACTATTTTTAGAGTTTACCACCGGAACATTTCTCCCCTTTAAACTTTAACGTGTGATCAGGTATCAGTCTAAAAAATATCCCCATCTCGCCAGCATTAAAAATTTCATAATCGCTATAGCCGGGCCTGAGTGTAGACCACACATTTTCAACCAAGTCATTTGTAATTGATCAGTGAACAACTGCTGACTTACTTGAAATTTTTCCATTAACAATATTGTGGCGAGCTCGGAAACGTTGAACCCAGGAAGCATTACACTTAAAATCCTTCTGCAAAATCACAGCGAAAGCGTCAGCCTTTACCTGAAGCATCGGCCCACTCACGGGTACATTATTTGCGTGTTGTTGTTTGAACCAATCGAACAAAGCACTTTCAATGTCACTGTGAGTTGATGACCGAACGCGTTTTCCTTTTTTACACTTATTAAATTCCATAATAATTTTCTCTCGCCGTTTCATCATTCCAGAAATTGTTGAGCGTGACGTTTTAAAGTGACGTAAATTGATTCCGTGACATGTTTTCTATGAACGCTAGACACAACTGAATTCAGATTCAGAAACTCTTGGCTTGGGCCAAATGATGTAATATAAACAACAATTTGTAATACAATGGACCCATCTTGGTAGGTCTAAATGTCCAAAGAACAAGTCATCAAGTGTGGATGCCTGTCCGGATGTACTATAACCATAAATTAATAAATCCTTACTTCTCATTTCGTGGTACTAAATATCGGTAATACCTGTGAGAAATACAACTCACTACAATGTCCATTTTCATAACTTTACAGGATAGCGCTTTTAAACTTATTTATTAAGATATGGAAACAATATTATATTGAACATTGTATCTACTGTCATTAACATCATGCGTTGGTTATAATTATTTATTATTTATTTATTATACAGTGTGTAAAATAATGTCATAATTAAAAACAAAGGATGTTGTACCATCTGAGGTATAGATATGTACTTGAAATTGTACGCTGTAACCAATATTTTAACTGGTAATGTTCCAAGAAATACGTTTGCTCTAACCGATTTGTTCATTATAAGCAATATAAATGCGTTATTTGTTTGTCATTTTATGGGACCTACTATTTTGTTTGTTATATCCAATTGTACATAATAGCCGGTGTCGTTGTAAACGAATTTGACTGTATATTGTATTCATACAGTATATACTGTATATTGTATTCATAATTATTTTTATTTAATTTTTTGTGACGTATAATGTAGGTTCACCAAATAATCAAAGTTATGCCGTTGCAAGAACATATTGTTATTAGAAAAATAAGGTTCCATCCACACACTACCCATGTAATCTAAACACTCTTATTGACCAAGTAATATGTACTGCGGCCTACGATAACTGTCAAATTCATACTTGTCATCATATATTACATGTTTGTTGATAGTTAAAAATTAAATGATCTGGTATTATTTAATATCTTAGCGAGACTTACATTTTTTAGGTAAATCGTCAATCGGCAAAAACGTTATTTAAAATATGCAATCTCAGTGCTTAACCTATCGTTGTTATACGATATACTTAGTATCAGCTGTTTGTCTGTGCGTCTTTGAATATGTGACTGTTATATTAAAAAAGAATTTAAAATATTAAAATGATAGTAAAAATCATACAATTTTTGCCTTATTTAAATATTTATTTTAAAACGTTAAACACTTGGCAGTGAAACAATTAAGTTTTCCAAGTTGGATCTTTTAAAATGAAAGTTTCTTAATCATATTGTAATGACATCATAATTATTTATCATTTGGCAAATATTATATTTTAATCAATCATTTTGTTTTCTTTCTATGCTGATCTTTTTATCAAGAATAGTTTTTTTTTAATATAAGATAAGCTTTTTTTCATTTGTATAAAATTTTTTGGCACACACTATATATCATACCTCACCAAAAATCATTCCCTTATCGTTTTAGTCATTAAACTATTGTGTCAACTATTTGAAACTCATTTTTTTAGATACGATATTAAACATACTGTTAAGTACGGACTTGCTCGAGCAAATCAGAGTTTAAAACCTACTAATTGTGTGCCGGCGTCACGATCCACCCCGATCGTACCGAACGCTTTCCATGGAGATAGGGTGGCTTACGCCGTGATGAAGAGAAGCCCAGACATTGACGACAACCCCGCTTGGATGAAGATATTTTTAAATTATATATTTAACTTATAGTTTGTTGTTTATAGTGCTTGTTTAATAAATTTATACGTGAAATTCTCAAAATACTTCACACACGCTCTACCACATACAGTCTGTCCCAAACCCTTTTTTCAGTGCGCCACTAATTTTAACGTCATATAGGATTTTAAGAATGTCGAGAAATATTGCATGACATTTTAGTTAAATCTGACAGTTGCAGGATCGTAATCGGCTAAACGTGAAAAGGTTATTTTTTTTTAATGCATAGCTATATTGCATATGCATAGTTTGTCATAATTCTATTCTATTCTGTTCTATTTTATATATTCCATGGAAAGTGCTTAATTAGCGAAGATTTGTTTATGGATTTATTATTATTTATTACAAACACTAGGGAATTGGAAGGATTGTTTATTTAAAATAACGCTTCCTCCTAGAATCTTTTAAGAGTTGACTGCAAGGTAAAAAAATTTACTGATAATTGCAAGGCATCAAAGTAAACATTCCTGTGATAAAATAATATCGATTTAAATCAGTCATATTTGGATAAGTAATTTTCTGATAAGTTTGTGTGGCAGCCAATAGTTTAATTTTGTGAAGAGTTGTCATTAAATAGTGGAAATAGTTTAAATAGTGAAGTAGTTGATTTTTGAGTTATTCTACCAGATTTGGTGTGCAAATGAAAGAAGGTTATAAAGTTTAGTTAAAAAAACAATATAAATAGTTTAAATAGTGAAGCAGTTGACTTTTGAGTTAATCTACCAGTTCCGATATCCAGATGAAATCGTGTTAATGGAGTTTAGTTAAAAAACAAGATACCGAATGTAAGTTTACCTTCTTTTTTATGAATAACAAAAATAAATATTATATTTCAAACAATTATATCCTACATTTCAAGAAAATGTCGTGGTTCTAAAAAGAACCGTTTTAATACATTTAAATATCCATAAAGGTATTAGTTTAAGATATTTCCCCAATATCATTCCGGAATTCACAATCTGATTCGCGAACGACAGAAACTGATAATAAAGATCTTTTTCCAATTGAAACTAATTTAATAATTTTAATATTAGTCTTTTTTCATTCTCGGTATATCTCGGAATATTTAAAATATTTTTATGACAATAAATACAAAATTTAATTTTCACTGTAGTTAAAATGTCTGAAAATACTAACGTGGAATGGCAATTATCATTTTATCAGTTGACATTGTGAAAGTACTGTCACTATCATTATCAAGATCATCTGTGTCAAATTATATTTATATGCATAATTGATTGGATATCTATTCTAAACTCCAACCAATTATACGTTCGTAAGTAGAATTCGCCTTAATATGCGAATACCCGTGAACGATACCTAATTTTCTAAGTTCTATGTATAATAATCAGCGACTCACGTTTTTTTCTGTCACTTCTAGCTTAATGCGTTAGAGAGAATTCGAACAACTATGACGCACTGAAAGAAGGGTTTGGGATGGACTGTACCCAATATTACTGTGATCATCCACATATTGACAGCATTGTACAATTTTTAATATCTAGCGAGTCTTTTTCAAGCGTTTCGAGTGTTTTTTTTTTATAATGTTTGTAATGTTCGAGTAAATTCCATCCCTTTCTGAGTGAATACTTTCTCTCTTTGTGTACTGGAAACTCCGCCTTTTCACAAGATTCCTGTTCTACAGTAACTGGTGCGCACAAAGTCACGGCGGTGGGGGATCGGTGCCGCTCGTGATGCGTAATTGTTCTTTATTTTCTGGGCGACCCTTGTACATGACATGATAAAATATTTTTTTTATAAACTTACCGCTTTCACATATATAAATTGGTGGGACCATGAATTCTATGCAAACAGGACATACCAATTCCGCAAGAAGATTTTCATCAAGAATATTATTTACTGTTTGCTTTAAAGCTTTTGATTTTGGAATCCTACATTTAACACCGCATGCTTCCGAAATTTGATTAATAACTTTTTTCTGTTTCATGGCAATACTGAATCTAAAATCAAAATAGTTTATTAGCTTAGATATTGATCAAATAATATTAAATCACTAGAAATCAAACCACAATAGTTATATTATAAATGCACTTCTTCTTTTGGTTTCATTTTACTTCATATTTTGGTCCCCTCATCACGTGGCCTAGGTATTCCAGTTTTCTGGTTTGTAAAGTGGTGATTAGTTCTGTTTCTTTACCAACCCTCTCCAGTACTTCTTTATTGGTAATTCTATCAGTCCATGATATTTTCAATACTCTGCGGTATAACCAGAGTCCGAAGGCCTCGATTCTTTTTAAATTACATTTTTTAATGTCCAAGTCTCAGCTCCATATAATAATATTGAAAATGAGTGGCTTCATTCGTATAAATGCTGATCAGTATGATCATTGGTTTCATTGTGGATAGTAGATAGTGGATTTTGTTACGTTATCATCCGTGGTAGCCATTTTCGGGTACCGTAGCTGATTAAACCAATTTTTAACGGTAGTCATCGAAGGAGGGGAGTCACAGGGGAGATTTCGATGCGCGATTTCCTTCCAAAAATAAGAATTGAATCACCGATCGATATTGCTCTTTTTCCATTTTTCTAAAATCCACGGACACGCACGCTTTCACACGCGGTCAAAACAAAACTATGAGTCCGATTTAGCTGAAGTTTTCATATTAGCCGTCTACGAGAATGTATTACACGATAGTAGATACATAGTAAGATTATATAAATCACTTTGATTTAGCAACCAATTTTAACTAAGTGCGTTTTGAAAATTGTATGGAAATATTTATTATAGTTTAGAATAAAAGATTTATGTCAGGAAGGAATCATGACAAAATGTTTCAAATCACTTAAACATTTCAAAATCAACAAGTGAGACAAATTTCAATTCAACCTTGTTCACAATAACATTTTGTTTGAGTCAAGTTAAAAAAAAAAACAAGATAAATACAACAAGATAAAGATCAGAGAATAAAATACTATAAAAAAAAAACAATAAAATAGCTCAAATGCTAACTACTAACCAACATATTCCTCTAAAATATTTACTGTATACTCTCTTTTCATTTAAAGGAAATTGTTGATAAGTAGGTTTCAATAATAAAAAACTGCTTGTTTTTACAAACTTACTTAGCTGAAAGTGGTTTCCTGGCTTTACTTTGGCTAACCATGGGTTGTATAATGTCTAAATTAATATCCAAGAGTTTTTCTTTATTTGCAAGAATAGCTTGAAAATAACCAAATGGTTCAAGTCTACCTTTTCTTAAGAGTATGGAGTTTGCATCATTTCCCTCATTCAGTTCTAACTGATACCTATAAAACTGGCTCTCCATGTCACTTCCAATGAGAAATACGCAAGATTTATAATTTTTGGCATCTATTTTTATAAAGACTATCATTGCTAATTTTTTATTTATATGTGTGAAATACATTTTGTTCTCTTCAGGAAGTTCGTCAAAGTATGGCGGATCAATTATCCAATCCTAAAATATACAAAAATATTATGTAGTCTGAAAACGAAAAAGATTTAATGAGATTCCTATAAAATTGGGAATTGGATACCTATAGCAGTAATAGAATCTACTTTCCAATTTTAGGATATTAAATTAAGAATATAGTGCATGCGAGTACCTGTGATTAAAATATTATAATTTCTGATTTTTTGTAATAAAGATTTCTGTTCTTAATTTAGATTTGTTATTTTTTTTTATATAAATATTAGTCAATATTTTTGTCACCCTGTGAGTGGTGTATTTCATAGCCACCAACAAATATCAATAACTTTATATCTTCTAGTCTTATGTTTAATAATTTCCTCATTTACATGAATCTGTCCACATAATTTGCAGGAAACAGAAATGAATTTCTCAAATTTTCTCCAACAGGAATTCTTCCAATTTGACCAATATTTATTTTGCTTTTAATGAACATATCCAAGGAGTTTCAAGAGTTTCAAGTTTCACTCTCTTGGTGAAATTCAATTCCACTCGATATAAATTTTCAATCATGCCGATATTTTAATTCTTAGAAGGAATAAAGGAAGATATTTAACGGTACTTCTTGGGGTAAGAGCCCGCTGCTACCTGCCTATATAATTTTGATGATATTAGAGTCAGTTGAGAAAAAGCTATTACCAAAGTCTGTCGCAAAATCTCATAAGCTGAAATTGCTAGCTCGCAAAATACTCGCTTCGACTATTAATATATTATATTTGTAACTAAGTAGTTCGCATCGCATTATTATTCATAAATATTATCAAATCATTTATAGTAATCAGTGTTTCCTAAAACCGCAGCTATAATTTTCATCTACACACTTCATTTATTTAAATCAGCAGTGTTGCCAGAAGTTCGATTTTAACATAGAAACGACATTCCACTAAGCAATTCTACTTGTAATTATATGTAATAGTGACAGTGATAGTTTCGGATAGCTATCATAAATTGCTATTTAATCTTAGCATTAGTGTTTAATCTGTTTTTCATTCCAGCCCTTGGCTGGTGGTCCTTCATCCTTCAATTATTTAAATGAGTTATTGTTCAATCACCCTCTATTTACTATTTATCAATTCTTAACTCCTATTATACCTAGATATGTTTTCTGTAAAGAACAATTTCTCGCCTAGTTTTATTAAATCTGATACCACTGCAGCAGAATTCTTCATATTTGCATAGAGGAAACAAGTTGTGGTTGTGAGAACAAATAATGTGATGTATTTTTCAAATGAAGGTCTTTTCACTTGAGTCATTCTAGGTGGCACTGCTTGGAGATGTACTTTGGGGAAGGGAGAGGGATTATCTCTTTTCCAAGGGATTCCAAAAACTTTGACGTGTTTTGATTGATCTATTTTAAAAATCAATACCTTATACAATATTATTAAAATAAAAAAAATGTTTTAATGTTCCAAACATATTCTCAGTTTAACAGAGTTAAACAGTAGAATAGGACTAATATGGGCAGCTTACAGAAAACTCAGGGAAGTCTTTAGATCAGATTTCAATGTGCTTGAAAAAGAAGGTCTTTGATCAATGTATACTCTCAGTTCTAATGTATGGAGCAGAAACATTGACCCTTACCAGGAAAGTAATCAATAAGATTCAAGTGGCACAGAGAAAAATATAGAGGTCAATGTTAAATACAGTATAGCCCAAAATAAACAGTACTGAACTTGTAACTATTTTATTGTTTTAAAAAATACATATTATTCATCATACCGATATTCCACATTTCTCTTAATGTTATGGAATAAAGATTGTCTAAAGGCCGTGAAGAAGGCTCTAACGGCACCTTTTAACTCATTGATGGCTTATGGAACCTGTTTAAAAGCGACAGTTTTAGCCATGCCCCAAATGTATGAATCTGGAGAATATGCAGGATAGGGGAAGTCAGTAAATTGTAAAATGAATTTGTTTCGCAAATGCCCCTGAAGAAATTGACGAACTGCGACAGCGGTATGGCAAGTTGCCCCATCCTGCTAGAAAAATTGGTCTCGAAATGCCAAATTATGTGCACAACAAAATTGACATAGATCAGGGATAAAGTGTGTTAAAATTTGTATGTACCTCTCTTGATTAAGTGTGACTTGTCTACCATTTCTTTGATAAAGTATGGGCCAATGATTCCGTGTCCTGAAACTGCACACCAGAGACTCACTTTTGTGCTATGTAAAGAAACTTCTTGAACCTCATCTGGTCTGGCAAAGCCCTGAAATCGATTTGTGTGACGATTTATATGGCCTGACAAATGAACATGTGCTTCGTCTGAAAACCATACATTTTTCAAAAATTCAGGATTTTCATAGTGTAATGCAATAATTCTGGCACAATATTCCACTCTACTGTGACAATCCCTGGGATGTAACTGTTGATGTATCTGAATCATACGAAACTGCACCCAGCTCCTTCAGGATTCTTTGCAAGGAAGTTCGTTTTAAGCCAAGATGCAAAGCTGTTCTTGTCTGGCTGGCCTTCGGATTTTCCAAGATTCACTCAAAAACATGTTCATGATCGTTGTTGTTAACTGTCCTACAACGCCCTGAGTTTAGTTTTAGTTGGCACAATACATCCTTCAAAATTACAGCATTACTTGTGTTTATTAAATAATTGTGTAAATTGATCACATAACTATTCCAGACTTGCACTATTACGTCAGCTAATTCCATATGAGCGAAAAGAATGCTCCACAAGAAACACTTTCTTCTCTGTATGTAACACCATTTTTAACAATTAGGCTTTAATAATTAATTGTTTAAGGATTACTTGACAGGTCTATACTAGTTAATTTAAATATGACAGCGCACACAAAGAGACATCTATATTTAAGTTTCAGTACTGTTTATTTTGGACAATACTGTATATAAGTGCTCAAGATTAGATGCAATGGAAATATTTATGGGAGTCCTATGTTCAGCAGTGGAATCAAACTGTCTAATGATGATGGTGATTCTCAGTTGATTTAATTTGACAGTAGTGTTGAATATTCTCATGAAAAGTTGGATAAAATTTGAACACCAGAGGAAGTTTCAAACCCTCTTTCTGATAAGTTGGCCATTATGACCAATTTGTCTTTTCAAAACTGATATTTTTTAAATTACTGGGTACTGAATTTTTTTATTTTTTTGGCTTTTCATAACATTTTGTATTGACATTTCGATTTTCAATCACAGACGATTTGCAGCTTGGAAATCTAAACATCAAATCAAATAATGTTATTTTAAATATGGTGATTTACTCCCATAATATATAAAAGATTCAATCAACAATATTACAAATTAAAATTTTCACCTGCCCTCAAAAATGCTTAGTGATGATAACTCAAGAACTTTCAATTTTGTAGACATCCTGTTGCTGCTGGTGGTACTATGTGGAAAAAACTCAAACTGACTTGTGTTAATGGTAGAGCAGCTACAAAAAATATTCCACAAAGGCCTCTTGGGCCAACCTCTTAAGCAAAAGCAGGAATTACAGTTCAGAATCTGTAAGTGCTTTTTTGCTATTCATTGATGATTACATTTTCAACACTGTACTTAACTAAAAAGGTGGTGATGGTTACAATGTGAATACTGGAAGATTTCTTAGAAGAATTTCAATATATGTCTCTGTGTCTGTGGAATTTTAGGACAAAAAACTTTAATTTGAAATGCTTATAGTCAACTATAACAGGCTCCCAATTTTTTCAAAGCTATGCCTCATGAAAATGCTATGCCTAAATGAAAATATTACTGTCCATACATAACTGTTTCCTACAAACACTAAATCCAATTCTGCTTAACTCATTCACTGCTCCTGATTTACAGTTGGTTTTAGCAAGGAGGTAAATCATTTTTTCGCATAACAGTATTTAACGGCAGCTCTTTTCAGATTTGTTGGCACTGGCCAATGCACAGTGTTGGCTCTTATAATTTATAGGAAATAATACTTACAAGTTTGGAATTGACTTTTTGTGCATACTTGCAGAATCTAGAGATACCTTATAAATGGTTAACCATATTTAAGAAAAGCTGACATTCATACTTAAAACCAAAAACCTTCAGATTATGAGGTGATAAAATGTATGCCCAATTATTTGAAAAAAGATGGAAGGAAATATAACCACTGATAATTTTTTTTTGTTCTTTTTCATCTTTCTCTGGAAGTTGAAAAGAATAACTCAAAATTTGTAAGTCAACAGAATTACATGAGAGTAATCCCATTCTAGAGGCAGAAAAGGAAAATTTAAATTCAAGAAAAAAAAACAGCAATGACTACTATGCAATATAAGTAGTAACTAACATTTACATGGATATACCTACTTTATGATCTTCCTCAATGTGATGCTGAAAATAAGCTGCATTTCCATTCCAAGAACATTCAGGCCCTTTATAAATACCATTGTCATAAGCAGGGCAGATTATTGTGGCACTGAAACATCCCAATTCATGGTCAAGAACCTTATCCCATGGTAATATTGAGGTGCATCCTTCTTTTTCAAAAGCACATGGGAATGTCATAAACTTTGCCAAATTCTCATATGCAACCTGTCTCCACTTTGTACCTTCAAATTTCTCTACAATATGGAGACATCGACCACACACCAGTTTTGAGCTATCATCTTCTTCCAAAGTGTAAATTGGGCTTATATTTAAAAGTTTAGAGCAATTACTACAAGTGATTTCTTGTTCTAATTTTTTAGTATTGGTTAGTGAAAACTGTTTGCTATTGTTTTCTAAATGGTCGACAACTTTGGGTTCCATTGGTTCCACTCACAGCGGTTCACTTACTGTTTAAATTGTATCTAAAATTTAGATAAATTTTCTTTTTTCTATTACTTTTATGATCACCAAATTAAACAAAACACAGCCGGTGCCGGTGCCTGTTTAACCGTTTTCCACTCATATCTAAGACTTGTTGCCAGACTTATATATTTTTCCTAAATTTTTGATTAGGATGTTTACCTCAAAAAAAAAAATGTAAGCTTGCTTAATTGCTTATTCCTCCTTTCAGTGTTGTCCGAGTTATATCATTGATTGAATATCTGAATTCGGATACTAATCAACGGTTTTATTAAAGTTATAGATGTAGGTAGTAATAATAAACAAAATAAACTACAGGCAATTCAAGTTCAGTGCACTTGTTGTCTCCTATGTATACACAAATAAGGGGGCAAAAAAAGTAAAGTGTCATTTTGTTTTCCATGATATTTATTATGAAATTTTGTGTTTTGAGTAAGATAATCTTCTGGTCGAAAAATAATCATTTTTATTTATACGAGTTAATATGTACGGGTCCGGGTTGTTAATAATAACAATAATTCTAAAACGTAAGAAAAATAACAAATCAAGTATGATAGTCGAACATGTGGAATGGAGTTTTTATCAGCTGATTGTGACGTAGCTGCACTGCATAGTTGCCAGCGGCCTGCTCTAAAAATTCTGGTTCTGGACCTACAAATTCGTTTGGATGCGGAAACGGCGGTTGAGTAGTTACCAGTAATTTTGTTTCCATCGGGGTTGACTGTGTAACTTCGTCTGTTGCTTCTTAATCACACACACGGGTTCAGATTTGGTCATGACGACGTAAAATTTTACCATCAGGAGTTTGAACTTTGTAGCTTAACTGTCCAATGGTTTCAATTATTTTAGACGGTAGCTACTTTTGACATGGAGCAAATGATCTTGCAAATGATCTGGCATTTTTTACATTTTGCAGCATTCGTTCCGCTTGCCCATTACTATTTGGCTGGTACGGTGCAACCAATGCTTATCAAATAAGGTTTTTCTTTAAAAAATATTGGAACTCAGCTGACGTAAAACTAGTTCCGTTGTCTGATACGACAACATCTATGATGTCATGAGTGGCAAATAGACCACATAATGCATCTATGGTCACAACACTTGAGTTATTTGGAACGATTTTAACCTCCAACCACTTCTAGTACGAGCCTATGCTAAACTAACTAACCTTGAGTTTTAACCTTGTTTAGGCTTACGCCTCTTCAAGGAATGGGGAACTCCTTTTTTTGACGGAGTTGTGGGGGGTGTGAGAAAACGTCAAATTAACGAAACGCGACCTAAGAAGTAGAGAACTACCAAGGAAAGGAGGGAAAAAGAAGGTGGCTTATTTTGTGATCGATAAGAATCGATTGAACGCACAAGAAGAAGTTGGGTTTGCCTAGCATGCAGTGTGAGGTACTTCAGGGTTACCAGCCATACAGTAGGAACGGCTCTTTATCAGCGTTTTTGGTGCGCAGTGTATCTGCGATAATAGATGGGGAAAGATTCTAAAATATCAAAATACTCCTGAGGAAGTTCAGGTCCAGCGTTATGTAGAAGTTTAGCTGGAGGGAATGGAACTTTTTTGGCGGGATGCCTGGTGAGTATTTGCCCTCTATGTGAACAAGGTGTCTTCAATGTTTGTTTTGCTCAGTTGTTCGAGCCAGCTATGGTTCTTAAGACATACTTCCTACTGTGGGTTAGGATTCTGTCCTTATTTGGCGTGATGTTGGTTATTGCATATATGTGGGCTGATGGATACAGCCAATCTTTTCTCATGCAGAAGCGTAATATTCTACGCTCGGTGGCGGTGATGGCGTTGAGTTCGTGATTCCTCAGGGAGAGGTAAACGCATGCCTTGTATCCGATTATCGGTCTGATGAAAGTCTTGTAGGTGTGCAACAATGTGTTAGAGGAGAACTCCCAAGTAGAGAACTGAGTTCCTGAGAATAAGGTCCTCTCCCAAAAGTGTCACCCGGCCCTGAAGGCCGCGTCCGTAAGGAGGTCTGAATAAAATTGCTTGTGTTTTGGAGGGGTTTAAAGTAACCCTCCATTTGTTGCACCACCTCACGACTCTATCAAGGTAATCTTGCGATTTCTCGAATACAGACCGTCGCTCTCCTTCCCTGTAGGAACCTGAGGTAAGAATGGCTGTATTATCAGCGAATAGGAGTAGAGACTTGCTGTGGGCGGGGGATGTCGCTATCATAGACTGTGTATAATATTGGAGTAAGTATTGAGCCTTGGGGTACTCCTGCTTGAGGAGTGAATGGAGTGGAGAGATGCTCTCCTATTTTGATCCGAACCGTCCGGTGGGAGAGATAGGAATTTATTAGTTTAACGAAAGGTGTTGGCAGTCCAGCAAGGTGGAGTTTCTCGATCAAGCCTGCATGCTAGACCTGATCGAAAGCCTTCTGGACATCGAGGAATATGCCTACGACGTGCTTCCTTTCATTAATGGATTGAGAAATGAAAGTTGTTGCTTCAAGCAATGCATTTTGTGTGGAGTGTCCAGCCCTGAATCCGAATTGGTAATTGGGAATGAGGAAGTGAGCGTCTAGGAATTCTACGAGTCTCTCCTTGAGGATCCTCTCGTAGACTTTACCTAGGGTGCTCAGTAGTGAAATTGGTCTATACGATTCAGATTTGGTGAGGGTTTTCCCTTTTTTAGGGACCATGACGGTGCTGGCCACTTTCCAAGGAATAGGAAAGTAGCTCAGCGCAAAAGATGCATTGATTATATTGGTGAGCAACGGGATGATATTCTGCGGAAGATTTTTGAGGCATCTTCTGTGGATGCCATCTGGGCCAGGAGACGTGTTTTTTCCTATTTTACACATCTGACTGACGGTTTCCTCAGTCACTGGCGCCATCATCGGATGAGGATGTGGTCCGTCAAGTGGCTGAGGGTAGTAGAATATATCTTCCACTCTCCGTTCGGTGGCTCTTTTAGATCTTTCGCTAAAATTGGGGTTATTGGGTGAAACGAGGGTGGCCTGAAGTGTATTTTTGAAAGCTTCGGCCTTATCTTGCGGATTGTTTAGTATGACGTTGTTGACTTTGAGGTGGGATCGTGGCTGACTTTTTTGTCTTGTTAGGACTTTGAGTTTGTTCTAGAATGCAGAGCCATCCCGGTAGTCGAGGTCCGAAGTGACTCGCATCCACTGTCTTTGTTTCTGCTTGTTCACCTCGAGCCTTATGACCGCCGAGAGTCTATTGTATTCTGTTTTGATGAGGGGGTCTCTGAATCTTTTATACTCTCTGAGTAATCTGCGTTTGGTTTTGATTTGCGCGATGATTTGCGGCGGAAGTGTTGGAGTATATGGATTGTACCTTGTTTTCGGAATAGCCAGGGCTGAGGCTTCTTGAAGAAGTTTCTCAACTTTGGAGATCCCTGTGTCAACTTGGTTATGTGTTGACATAATGCCTAACTCAGGAAGGTTTTGATTGACGTGTTCTTGGAAAAGATCCCAATTTGCTCTACGATAATTTATCCTATAGATGGCAGGTCTTGCTTGGGGTAAGGAGTTGAAGTCAGTGTTGACTAGAAGAGGATCACCAGGACAGAGGTTATGGAATCACCAATGAAGCATTCATCATCGATCCTATCAAGCAGGTTAACCATACATAAGATATGATCAACAATGGACATTCCTTGATGATTGGAAAACGTGACCTCTCGATTGGTGATTCTGGAGATTGGCAGCTCTAGAAGAAGGTCTGAGAGCTGTCTGCCTGGAATATTTAAGGTTGTATCACCAAACTGAGTGTGCCTGCTGTTTAGATCGCCCATTAATACCGCCTTGTCTAGCGTGGAAAAATACTCGAAAAGAGGTAGGGAAAGGGGTGTGTTTGGATGTTTGTAGTAGGATATTATCGTAACCTTGGTGTTATCCTGTAGCAGTTAGGGGGGGCTTTAAGTCGGGTGTCGGTGAGAGAGAGGATTTGTATGTTTTGGGAGAAGAGTAAGTGTTTTATTAGTGCTCTCTTTCGACCGACCCCCGAACAGTTGACTGTACCTATTACACAGTTGAATGGCTCTCTCTCTCCTATCTCCTATCTCTCCTATCTGGCAGGATGTTCATCAGCAGCGATCGACAACCTAACGTCTGCTGTAAGTGATGCAGGAGGAATCCTTCTCTCAGTGGTTAGAGGTTTTGCCTCTTGGTGTGAGGAAGGTGTCTCCTGCCTTTTGGGGTATCTAGGTGACCATGCTGGGTGTGTTCCCTTGCAATTTGGGCACTTAGGGTTTTTGATACTGGGACAGTCGCCGCTTTTGTGCTCGCCGCTACCGCAATTAGGGCAAGTCGTCTGTCGCTTCCGACACTCTGAGATTTCGTGGCCGCTTTGGCAGCATCTGCTGCAGTATTTGGCGGTGAATCTGATAATATTTGGGTTGTGAGGAGCCTCACATGGCCTGATCAAGCCATCTATGCAGATGCCGTTGATCAAAGCGTACGGACCATTCTGGTAGGCTTGTTGAATCTTTTTGAGAAGATTCTATGAAGTGAATTGAAGGGAAAGTCGATTTCAACAAGGCTTAGCCCGAGTTCCTCGGTGGTGATAGCAGTGTCTACATCACAGATGACGAGATGGAATGGAGATTGGGTGTCTGGCTGTGTCTTCTTATTGAAGCGTTGTCGTGAGTTTTTAGACTCATAACGATTGCAGGATCACCAGTTCTGTCCTGGAGCGCCCTTGACATATCCTTGACATTCTTGAAAAGTTCTTGGGTGTCGACTAACTGGTAAAACTTACGTTGTGTGTCGTAAGCTCCAGGGTTGTTGAGAATTCTGTAAGTGAACCTTTGCGAAGGTTTCAGGTAATTCTCAGCACTGGTGGATGGTTTCGTGGCACTTGGTGCCTCGATAGCTTGGGACGGTTTTGGAATTGTTTTTGAGGTGGTAGGTACCTCGATGGTAGGAGCGACAGTAGCCCTTTTTTTGGTTTTTGCGGCTGCGGTTGCTGGAATTTTGGCTGGAGTTGGTGGCTTGGAGGGAGGCTGTGCGGTAGCTTTAGCAGCTACATTGGAGATTTTTCGTTTGGATTTGGTGGCGGATTTCAGTGGTGTCTTGGGCCTCTTTGACCTGGAGCGAGTCCGTGGCCGAAAGGCTGGAGAAGT